TAGTTAAATTATGAGCACTTCATTACAGTTTAATTGTGTAAGTCTAGATGTATAGTTAAATTATAACACTTTGTTACAGTTTGATTGTGTACATCTAGATGTATAGTTAAATTATGAGCACTTTGTTACAGTTTGATTGTGTACATCTAATTAGGTAACTAAATCGTGAGTACTTCATTGCAACTTAAAGTGTGAACAAGACTTAAAAATAACATATTCACTGAAATATAAAATGTTTGTTTTCTTTATATAAATAGATATGCAGAAAAGAAGTTGAAGTTGTTTAAAGGATCTCAAGAAAAATCTGTTCTACTAGAAAGGTGAGTCTGTTTTTGAGAAAAATGTAAAAACTTGTATGCAGGTTTAGAATTGAATATTTCTGTCAAATACTTACTGTCTGAAATAGATCCATACTATCTTAATAACATGAATTAAGTGCTTGGTGTTACAACATGGTGGAATAGATGCAATGTTATTTTCTGTGGATCAAATTTGCTTTCACAAAATACGTAACTGTAACTAATAATAAGGAACATAAAAAAATCCTTGAAACTTACTATAAATTGTTCTTTAATCAAAATTTTTTAATTAATGTAAATATACTTAGTTCTTTATTTTTAAGTGATTTGATCCGTTATTTTATGCTATTTAAGTTATTTTTCCTATAGGGCCATAGGAAGCAATATGGCCAATCAGACCATGGCCTAACCACATCTTCAATGCATGTATAGCTACAACTTATGTATTAAAACTTGGTTCTTTTAATTCAATACGTTATGTTGTGTGTGTATGAAGTATTTGTAGTAAAAATGGCTTAACATTCAACCTCATAGCATTAAATTTTCAAACATTTTCTGGGGGGTGGGCACACATTGTTTAGCTGTGGCCTGACCACTCAAAAATTGCTTCCTGTGGCAATGTACCAATGAAAAGTCTGTTTCTGAAAAGGTACACTTTTAATCTGATTATGTAAATATAACTTCTAAAGTCTATTAATAGGAACGCCAATTAATTGTTACTACTTACAGGAATTTTTACCTGAACATTTAGTTGGACATCTGGCTTAAAATTAATATTAAGTTTTGAACTGTACTAAATACCTACTTAGTTGCAAGAATTTAGCAGTCTTAGTGTTAACACAGACCAAAAAGAGATAGACCAGCTTTTCCAAGTTTAATAATATTGGTGCTGTTGCTCTTTTCAGTTTGCAGTAAATGTTTTTCTCTAAACTAATAATTGTTTACAAGACTAAAGTATTTTTAGCTACATGACAGACCTTTAATTTTCATTGAACTTGTAAGCATCTTCAACATTCCAGGTTATTGAACAAAGCTGCTTTCTGAACTACTCTTGACTGTCTATTGGTCAATTATAAGCCTATGTAGTGCGCAATTATAAATGTATCTGTACAGAATTATTACAGTGACATTAACTAGAAAAGTTAGCTTGTTAATAATTTGTTTTTGATCACTAATCAATAGTAGAATCTGTGTAGAAAACTTAAAATCAGATCTTATGGAAATATTAGATGTTAAATATACACAGCATGGTCGTGACAATCACAGATCAGTTGTTGGTTAGTGGTGTACATTATCTAAATACTAACAAGTTGCTAGTGGCTATTTTTTTTTTACTCAATACTAATTACTAATTAGTTCATATCCTACAGTTTAGCTCCTAATCTGCTGCCATGTTCAGAGAAGTCCGGAGAAGGGTTGTATGTGGCAGAAGGGTCCAAGGTTCGACTCTGAGTCATCTTATAAAAGTGTGTTATCTGAAGTAAGAGCATGGATGAGGTGGTCATACACTGTCCCTTACCATTACATATGCTCCTTCTTGGGACTTCTCTGAAGATATCACCAGATTTGAAATTGAAAAATAAGATATATACTAACTGATAATTAGTTATAACAATTAGGTGATCACATAGGCTCTTAACCATGGCAACTATATTAAGTGTTGTTTGCATCCTTCTATGAATTCCCATGGACAACTGACACAATGTTTGACTAAAACATTAGAAGCATTAGAAAATCAGTATATTATTGTATAAAATTAAATACGTATTAAAATATAAATATCCAGAATACCAAATAAACATAGGTATTTAGAGAGAGAGAGATCTGAATTTCAGTATTCAAAACAAGTCATTCTTTCTTCATAAAGTTTACGTTATTTCAACTTTGTTCTAGTATACCATCACAAAAATATTATTGTAATGGTTACCATTTTTTCAATATAATTTAGAAGAACCATTTAGCCTTAACAGCCTCTTGAAAGTATGTTTGGATATTTTTTTAAAGATAGCAACAGTTCTGATGCTGTCTTATCTTTACAGTTGTAAAGACAGGTTCTCATCTCAATCTAGATTTCGACATCTGGTGAGTAAAAAAAAACTAATTTGTATAGAAACTGTTCAAGATCTTTTACAAATCCTTACTAATTTTATTTGGGAAAAATAACAATGGATTGTAGAAGTTTTACAGGTGTTAGTTTGTGCCTTAATAATATAAGTAAAAAGGTATCAGCTCCTTAAGTAACATTAAGTATACTGTAGTTAAAAAAGACCATTAACAACTGAATAATAAATCTTATAGCCTGCAGACTAATGAAAGTGTAGGCAAAAAGAAAAAATATGTATTGTGCCAGTAAACAGCTTTCAAAAAAAATAATGATTGTAGCCTAGAACACACCAGTTAAAAAAATTTAATTCACTTGCCTTATATTACATGCAATAAGAAGATTTTGAAAGTAGTTTTAATGGTTACATAATCTTTAACCTTTTAATCTAGAAAAATATATATTTAGGAATTCTTAATTTCTTGGACTAATTTTGTTGTGGTAATATTGGAATAACGATTACTTTAAAGTACACGCTGTCTTCTGGTTTCTTTCAGTTATTATTGTTTCCTGAACTATATTAAATTTTAACTTCATCAAAATACTTTTTTTTTATAATTAAAAGCATTTTTTATTGTTGTTTAAGACTCATGACATAGGTAAATTAATATGTAGAATTATACATGGACTTTTCTCTACATTAAAATACTTTTATTTGTGAGCTTTCTGCCCTCTTAATGGAGCCTTTATCGGGCAACAATGAACAGTTCATTGCTGCACAATGAAGGCTCCCAGTAAGAGGGCCAAAAGCTCACAAATAAAATTATTTTAACGGAGAGAAAAGTCCACTTATAATTCTACACAGCATTTTTTATTTTTACAAAGTTGAGATAGGATATTAATTAATTTTTTCGTTTTAAAATTACTCAACATATTATGTCAACAAAATTGCATAAGTTGTGTTGAGCTTCTATTCCTTATATGTATTAACCTTTAATTTGTTTTTATTGTACAGTTATATGTTTCTCTGTTTGCCAAGTTGGGAAATGTTTCTTTTAAATATTACATTAATTACTTGTACTTTGTAGTGATATTGAGAATAACAAACACTACAGTACTACCATGTTTACAGCTTTAGTAGACATAAGCAAGTTTACAAGCTTTTCCAAAAACGTATATTAATTATGAACATTTCTTTTTATCTTCTGTGGAAATTTTAACATGAAACTGTTAAACTTTATATAAGATATATATTCTTTACCATGATAAACATGTTAAATTGAGTTTGAGTG